TTTCTTAAGTGGACGATCAACGTTGAAGCAACTCTACATTCTTTCAAGGGCCAATGATGATGTTCATTTGAAGGTGGCACTTCATTTTTCTCTAATGAGTTTACAGAAAGCAAATCAAGTTTTACACTGTTTCTGTAACGGACCCAACACCATGTCAGAGCATGTGGGGGCAAACTCGTACAATGGCTCGTTCCCAAACATCTCGAGAGCCACTCAGACCACGCGGCAGGCAAAAGGCACTGGCGGCGGCCTCCTCCAATTCCCACCCTGCACAGTAGTGCTCAGGGCAATTCCAGATACAGAAACTTCCACCGTGCCTGGCTCATGCCCCAGCTCCCCACTGGCGACCAGTACCCGACATTTCCTTCACCAGTGTGGGTAGTCAAGAGCCACGGAGCAATGCATGTCCAGAGAAAAGCTTTCATTACAGGGGCTGATTTTGCAAGGGATGAGGTGACAGCAGCAGGTGAGACTGCTGAGGGCTAAGGAGAGCAAGGGACTCAAACACCCCACGTGTCCACCGCTGCGCCCCTCCAAGAAGCCTGGATGGACAGAGGCCCAAGGATACACCCTGAAGAACTAGAGAAAGGACTTCAGATGATGGGACAAAGTGAAGAATGAAACAGACATGCCCAGGGAGGGGGCAGTCAAGACGTGGGCTGGAAAGCAACGTGTCCACCCCTCAGTCCTGGCCAGCCTATTCCCATGGCCATTGCTGTTGAAATAATGATTAATTTGGAGCTAAAGTTGATGCAGCTGGGGTCCAGGTGGGCCAGGAGGTGAGCCAAACGAGGGCACCCTACTGTGTGCTCCTGCTTTATTAAAGAAAAACATAGCTCAGGGAAAACAGAGAGAGACAACGTCGAAGTTTATAATGAACACACACAAACCCTGTCTCGTCAGAGCTGGTGATCCTGAAACCAGAGCCAGTTGGAAGGGCCTATTGCAGCTCTGCTGCTGCACAAGTGCCCTTCACAGATTTTCAAAATTCTTTACAGCTCTATCATTTTCTAGTACTCTCTCTGCTGGGGACGAAGCTGACCAAAACTCTAAGGTTTAATGACTGTGCTATTGGATTTCCAACTTGCATGGGGCCTGTAGCCTCTTTGTTTTGGCCAATTTCTCCCATTTGGAATGGGGGTATTTATCCAATGCCTGTACCCTCATTGTATTTAGGAAGTAACTAATTTGCTTTTGATTTTGCAGGTTCATAGGCAGAAGGGACTTGCCTTGTCTCAGATGAGATGTACTTGGGCTTTTGAGTTAATTCTGGAATGAGTTAAGACCTTGGGGGACTGCTGGAAGGGCATGATTGTGTTTTGAAATGTGAGGACATGAGATTTGAGAGGGGCCAGGAGATTTGAAAGGGGCCAGAACATGAGATTGAGAGGGGCAGAAAAATATGGTTTGGCTGTGTCCCTCCACAAATCTTACCTTGGATTGTGGTTCCCACTATCCCCACGTGTTGTGGGGAGGGAGTGGTGGGAGGTAGTTGAATCATGGGGGTGGTTTCTACCATGCTATTCTCATCATAGTAAGTTCTCACAAGATCTGATGGTTTTATAAGGGGCTTCCCCTTTGGCTCGGTTCTCATTCTTCTCCTTCCTGCCGCCATGTAAAGAGGATGTGTTTGCTTCACCTTCTGCTAGGATTGTAAGTTTCCTGAGGCCTCCCAAGCCCTGTAGAACTGTGAGTCAATTAAACCTCTTTTCTTTATAAATTACCCTAGCCTCAGGCAGTTCTTTATAGCAGCGGGAGAAAAAACTAATACAGCAACCCAGTCTATCTCACCATTGCCAAGTCCAAGTGGTGTGCCCAAGTGATTTTACTGCAAGTTGTTCTTTGGTAAAGGGAGTGGCGGGTGTGGGGGCGTCTCTAGTCAAGGAAGTTTAGCAGATGCTGCACATGAGACCTTTTCTGGGAAAGTCACAATGTTCGCTGACACATTTCCAACTATGCCAAACCCTACAGTCACCCAGGCTTTCTCAAACATATCTGACATTCATGCCCTTGACATAAGACATCCCGCAAATGCAGCATTCCAAGGTATGGTCATTGGGAGACTCAGCCCTAAATCCTGCTCTCGTGTGCAGTTAAGCCACATACTCCCCACCCAGGATTGTGCTTTCGGGGTTTTATGATCCCAAATGCAAGACCCAGCACTGATTCCTCTAACACATCTTGTTAGATTCTGCCTTCCCACCTCCACCCAGCCTGCCGAGGGCTTTCTGGAGCTTGATGCTTGGATCTCTGTTCTGGACCCGTATCTCTCTAGCAAATCTTCCCACACGCACACACGTGACTGCAGGAAAACAGTAGCCCACAGGTGAACACCAGTTCAGCCCTGCAGGGGCTGCTCCTCTGGGAGGCCAGGCGGGGCAAGTTCCTTCCTATACAAACAGCCCTGCAGGGCAGGGCACTTCCGGAGCATCAGGGAAGAATTTTATGTGGTTTCCAGGGAGATGCGTTCAGTAAAAGTTATTTTTCCCTTGAAAGGCCCCAAAGTGAAAAGTAGTTGCAGGGAAGTTGAATTATTACCTAATGCCAGTAGCAGCTGCTGGTAAAGAAGAAGGAAAGGGGGTTGGGGAGCTGGTGTCTGCGAGTTGGGGGCTCATTAACACTCACTTCTTAAATTAGCAAATCCTTATACCACGAGTTTAAAAATAGCAGGCTAATGGTTTCTAAAATTAGCCATCATTGCTCTCCATAAATATTTAGACCTCCAATAAACCTCTGGTCCACTTGCCTAGCCTAATGGGCTTGGCTTTCATGCCACATTCTTTAGGATCCATATACTTCACGGTTGACCTTGACAGTGAGAGCCGCAAGAAGCCCCACTATGCTTGGACCAGGGACATCCCGTGTGGCCGTCAGCCTCAAAGCAGGGCAGGAAGGGATCTCAGAGGCCATTTGGAGATCTGAGCACCTGGAGAAGCCTGTGGTCCTGGTTTCCTTGGGACTGTCTGAGTTTTAGCACTGAAGGTCCCCGTCCTGGGCAACCCCTCAGTCCCTGGCAAAGCAGGACCCGGGGTTGCCCTGACTGACCAAACCCCTGCAAAAGGGGCAAGGCCGCTGTTCTGGGATCTCTGTGGGAAGGAGAATCTGTTGCTAACCCCACCCCTCAGCCCTCACACTGACTTCAGTCCTATCTCGATGAGGCAGGTAGTGTTTAAAGTGGGGATGACACCACGGAGCCCACTAGCCAGACCAGGCATAGCATTTTCATCCTCTGCCCCTCGTTTCCCCATGTGGAAAATGGGGATGGTAACAGTCACGGCCGCATGAGGCTGCTGGGAATACACGAGGACATGCGTCCGTGTTCAACCCGCACTCAGTCCCTCAGCTGGTACCATCAGTGTGCTGAGGGCGCAGTGTGGGTCCGCCAGCACACCCTCTGGCTATGCATGTCAGGGTGGCCACCTTGGCCTTGGTGCCAGCACCTCCCCCAAGGCGGTGACCACAAGACAGCTGCCAGCAGGGACTGTGACGTTGTCCTCAGCCCCTGGACAGAATGACTGCTTGCCGAGCGGAGGGAAGAAAGGCTTTGTGCAAAGCCAGCATGGTGCACGGTGCGTGTGGCAAATTCTGGGCTGTGAACAAATAGTCATCCAAAACAGCAGCAGCAAAGCCTCCCTTAGTGTATCCGTCCGTGCTCACACTGCGACCAGAGTCAAAGAACCACCTGAGACTGGTAACTTATGAAGAAAAGAGGCTTCTTTGACTCTCGGTTCCACAAGCTGTACGGGAAGCATGACTTGGGAGGAAACTTAGAATCTTGGTGGAAGGCAAAGGGGAAGCAGGCATGAGCCACACGGCCGGAGAAGGAGGAAGGGAGAGCGGGGAGCGGGGAGGGGCTGCACGCTTTTAAACAAGCAGATCTCGTGAGAACTCACTATCACACAAAGAGCAAGGGGGAGGTCCGCCCCCGACCCATCCGCCTCCCACCAGCCCCTTCCTCCAACACTGGTGACTGCAATTCCACAAGAGATTTGGGTGGGGACACAAATCCAAACCCTCCCACCTGGACACCCCTGAGTCCGCCTCGTGTCCTGTGAGGCACCATGATGTCTTCTTCTTATTCACTTTTGTTTGTTCATCCACCAGGACAGAACTAGTTACCTCCTACAATGCCAAGGCATTTAAACCCAGTATATGTTTTTAGATCAGCAAGATGATGGTTTAGACTCCCAGTGGAAGCATCGGTTATTAATTATTTATTCACCAAGTGATTTACATCTAGTAGGGGATTTATTTATTTATTTTTCAAGGCAGAGTCTCACTCTGTCACCCAGACTGGAGTGCCGTGGCACGATCTAGGCTCACTGCAACCATCACATCCTGGGTTCCAGCGATTCTCCTGCCTCAGCCTTCCAAGTAGCTAGGTGGTGGCATGCACTACCAATGCCCAGCTAATTTTTGTATTTTTAGTAGAGACGGGTTTTCACCATGTTGGCCAGGCTGGTCTCAAACTCCTGACCTCAAGTATCCACCTGCTTCAGTCTCCCAAAGTGCTGGGATTACAGGCGCGAGCCACTACGCACTGCTGGGCATTTCTTGACAATGTCCCAGGGTCTCATGGGCAGCACCCTGCGGCCCCACCTTCCTGCCTGCAGCCTGCACAGCTTAAATGAGGCTCAGCCCTCTGCAGAAAAAGAAACAGGTTTTGCCTACTGAGTTCTTGGCCACTTTGGGACACTGGACTGACTTGTCATCAGCAGAGATGTTTCCCTTTTTTTCCCTTCAGAATCAAAAAAGAAGCTGAGCCCCAGGTTGCCCACTGGACGGTGCAGCCAGGGCCCAGGGCTTCCTAATTCTCTGTCTCGTTGATTACCTTTTTCCCGGCAGGAGAGAAAAGCAAGTGGTGTCCACTCGGGACTTCCCCTCCCCTCCCTTCTGCTTTCCTTTTTTTCCTTCCTTTCTCTGCCCCCTTCCTTCCTTTCTCCTCCCTCCCTCCTCCTCTTCTTCCCTCTCTCCTCCCTCCCTTCCTTCCTTTCCATATTTCTTAGTGTCTTCTATATGCCTGGCCCTACATGGGTGCTGGGTCCTTGTCCCCAAAAAGTGTCCTGGATTTTGGTATGCTAAGAATTCTTTAAAAGACTTTGAAAGGGCTCGACATTCCCATATCCCTGAAAGCCAGGTAGCAGCCTCTGTCTTGTAACAAGGTCACCCTCAGACAGCCCTCGCCAATGACAATTGGACATAGCAAATGGGGAGCGTGGTGGGAGCGGAGGTCTGTGCTGGAGAGAAGGGATGCTGGCCCGTGGTCCTACCACGGCTCCCGAAGAGCCGTGACCTTGGAAATTCCTGCCCCAGCATCAGCTGACAACCTCTAGGTCACATCCAGCTCTGGAATTCTGAAGGCAGCATCTGACCTGCCTAGGGAACTAAACCTCTCCCTGGCTGAGCATGTGGGTGGGGAAGCTGCCCGCTTCAGAAAACCCCTCATCCTGACAACCACGCAGGGCCGTTTTCTAAGTCGCAGCTGGAACACACCTTAGCACCGTCAGTCCAAGGTGCAAATAGAGCGTGTTGATTTAACAACGTTATTCCTGATTACTGATGAACAGAAGGACAGGAGATTCCAGTGCAGCAGCAGTGCTTAAGGGTAGACATAAGCAGAACTTCCCGCAGGCGCTAAAGCCCTTCCCTGAGGCCAGCATCCGGCTGTCACCCTTCAGATCCTGCCTTTCCAGGAAAGCAGGTATTCTCCCACCCAGTGACGTCTCAGAAACTATTTTTGAGAACATGCTAATTGCCACACCAACTGCCTATGGAAAACTCGGTTTCGGTGACAGAAATAAGTACACGAGATAATCTTTAACCCGTTTCCTTTCTCTCCCCACTCCCGCCTCGCTCGGCTTCATTAGGGTTCCCGCCGGTGCCTGAGGAGCGGCACGACCCCGAGGGCCCAGGGAGTTGCCCGGCTGGCCTAGGCAGGCAGCTGACCATGGCCAGCGCGGCCGTGCAGCTCCTCGGCTTCCTGCTCAGCTTCCTGGGCATGGTGGGCACGCTGATCACCACCATCCTGCCACACTGGAGGAGGACGGCGCACGTGGGCACCAACATCCTCACGGCTGTGTCCTACCTGAAGGGGCTCTGGATGGAGTGCGTGTGGCACAGCACAGGCATCTACCAGTGCCAGGTCTACCGCTCCCTGCTGGCGCTGCCCCAAGACCTTCAGGCTGCCCGTGCCCTCATGGTCATCTCCTGCCTGCTCTCGGGCATGGCCTGCGCCTGTGCCGTCATCGGGATGAAGTGCACACGCTGCGCCAAGGGCACGCCTGCCAAGACCACCTTTGCCATCCTCGGCGGTGCCCTCTTCATCCTGGCTGGCCTCCTGTGCATGGTGGCCGTCTCCTGGACCACCAACGATGTGGTGCAGAACTTCTACAACCCGCTGCTCCCCAGCAGCATGAAGTTCGAGATCGGCCAGGCCCTGTACCTGGGCTTCATCTCCTCGTCCCTCTCGCTCATCGGTGGCACCCTGCTTTGCCTGTCCTGCCAGGACGAGGCACCCTACCGGCCCTACCAGGCCCAGCCCAGGGCCACCACAGCCACCGCGACCACCGCCCCCGCCTACCAGCCACCAGCTGCCTACAAAGACAACCGGGCCCCCTCAGTGACCTCAGCCACCCACAGCGGGTACAGGCTGAACGACTACGTGTGAGTCCCCAGGGCTGGCTTCTTCCCACGGCCGCTGCAGGCTGGGTCCCCTGTGGGAGTGTCAATGGAGGCAGGGGTTCCAGCACAAAAGTGACTTCTGGGCGATTTTTGTATTCAAGGAAATAATGTGAACGCAAGGAAGTGTCTTTAGAGCGCAGGGACAGAGGGGAAATAAGAGGAGGAGAAAGCGCTCTTACCAAAGACTGAAAAAAATCCCATTTTTGTATTTATTATATGTATTTATGTGGGTGATTTGATAACAAGTTTAATACAAAGTCACTTGGGAGTTTGGTCAGTGGGGTTGGTTTGTGATCTAGGAATAAACCCTGTGGACATGGCTGTTTATGAAACGGACGGTATCTGTTATTCTGTCTCCTAAGGTGCTGGTAACCACAGTCAAAGCTCATTGGGTTCAGGGTTGCAGAGCTGTGCACCAGTGCTGACCACAGCACCAGTGAGTCCCGACTCTGATGCAGGGTGGGGATCTTGGGGAGGGCGGGGCTGATCTCCATCTGTAAGACGCTTGGAAACACTAGAGTGGCACCCCGGCTTGAACTCAGGGGCAGTGCCGGAGAGAAGGGGCTTCCTTGGAAAAAGACAGTTGCCAGAAGTCACAAAATAAGGACAATGTCGGCCAGGCATGGTGGCTCACGCCTGTAATCCCAGCACTTTGGGAGGCCGAGGAGGGCGGATCACGAGGTCAAGAGATAGAGATCATCCTGACTAACATGGTGAAACCCCGTCTCTACTAAAAATACAAAAATTAGCTGGGCGTGGTGGCGTGCGCCTGTAGTCCCAGCTACTCGGGAGGCTGAGGCAGGAGAATTGCTTGAACCCGGGAGGCAGAGGTTACAGTGAGCCGAGATTGCGCCACTGCACTCCAGCCTGGCTCCTGGTGATGAAGCAAGACTCTGTCTCAAAAATTAAATAAATAAATAAGGACAATGTCATTTTCTTCCCATGAGCAATAGGTCCCCACTGGTAAGAAAACAAGAGTCAGAAGGAAAAATGGGGCCACATGCAGCAGCTCCCGCCTGTAATCCCAGCACTTTGGGAGGCTGAGGCAGGTGGATCACCTGAGGTCAGGAGTTCAAGTCCAGCCTGATTAACATGGTGAAACCCCGTCTCTCCTAAAAATACAAAAATCAGCCAGGCATGGTGGTGGGCGCCTGCAGTCCCAGCTACTCAGGAGGCTGAGGCAGGAAAATCACTTGAACTCAGAAGGGAAAAGGTTGCAATGAGCCGAGATTGTACCACTGCACTCCAGCCTGGGCAACAGAGTGAGACTCTGTCTCAAAATATAAATAAATAAATAAATAAATAAAAGCGGGGAAAATGGAGTGAAACATGGCCGGTGTCTTAGCTTTCTAGGCTTTGGCAAAAAGCCCAGTTAGGACGCTGCTGGCCCCCAAGGTCCCCACTGGGATTTCGCTGGCTTCTTTTCTGGGGTGGCCAGTCCCGGCTGCCATGAAAGCAGGTCCTAGCATCTGTGGCTGTTCCTGCAGCTGCAAACAGTGTCTGGGAGCGGGGGAGGCCTGACGACTCTGAGGGCACTGCTGATCCCTGCCGGCTGTGATCTCAGTCACATGGTGACACACACACCTCATCAGCCCAGGGAGCCCGGGCCTATTTTCACGTACAGGGGGCTCCTGTCCTTGGCCCACTTCGGACAGCGCCTGAGCAGGTGCTGTCACCTTCTGAATGTGAAAGGAAACAGCTCAGTCTGCGGAAGGGCTTGGCCTGAGACCTATACACAGAGGAGCTGTGATGTGAAGTCCCTCCATCCTCAGTGGTCTGGGAGTCAGGGCTCCTCCCTGCATGCAGGGAAGAGCCGCAGTGGGTCAGTGGCAGGCATGCAGCCAGCGGGCCAAGCTCGCCTGTGTGGCCTGCTGAGACCCTGGCTTCCATGCCAGGGAGGTTCTATACAGGCGTCAAGAGGCTTGAGAACTGGTATCGAAAGGGCAGGGCAGGCCGCCCACAGCCTGGAGCCCTGGAAACCGCCAGGCCTGAGGCCTGCTGATGCTCTCCTGACCTCCTGCGTCCTCCTGGCCTGACTGGGTCGGGCATCTGCTTCTCCACTGGCCAAGGCTCACACCGGTAACGTGTGCCCACTGGCAGCCCTATTCTGACTGCTTTAGGCTCTGCCATTTATACCTAAGAAACTACGCTATAATAAAATTTCTCAGGGGACTTCCAGCAATATTGAAGAGTAGAGGATTTAAGGAATGGCTGTCCACGTACTTACATATATCTTTTTTGTTTGTTTGTTATTTTGAGATGGAGTCTCACTCCGTCGCCCAGGCTGGAGTGCAGTGGCGCAATCTTTGCTCGCTGCAACCTCTGCCTCTCGGGTTCAAGCGATTCTCCTGCCTCAGCCTCCCAAGTAGCTGGGACTACAGGTGCACACCGCATGCCCAGCTAAGTTTTGTATTTTAAGTAGAGACAGGGTTTTACCATGTTGGCCAGGCTGGTCTCGAACTCCTGACCTCAAGTGATTCACCTGCCTCAGTTTCCCAAAGTGCTGGGATTATGGAAGTGAGCCACCGCACCCCGCCATGAAAAAATAACTTTTTCAAACTCTTTCTCTGAATTCTGTCACTACTAAAATATGGCTCCCTCTCCTCCTCAAGTAAAAGACTAGTAATAGTGATTACAATTTATTGATCATTTACATGTATCAGATATACTTTTCATCTACTAATTTGATTCAGTTAGATAAATAGTATTTTTTTCTTTTTGGTTTTCTGTTTTGTTTTGTTTTTTTGAGACAGGGTCTTGCTCTGTCACCCAAGCTGGAGTGCAGTGACTCAATCACAGTTCAGTGCAGCCCGACCACCGAGGCTCAAGCAATCCTCCCATCTCAGCCTCCCGAGTAGCTGAGACTACAGGGGTCTACCACCACACATTTGGTTAATGTTATTTTTTGGTAGAGACAGGGTCTCACTGTTTTTCCCAGGCTGATTTCCAACTCCTGGGCAGGCTCAAGCAATCCTCCTGCACAGTCTTCCAAAGTGCTGGGATTATAAGTGTGAGCCAATGTACCAGCTGAGTATTATTCTTAACCTCATTTTACAAAGGAGGAAACTAAAGCACAAAGAGATCAAATAACTTGCCTAGGGTCACAGAGCAAGTGAGTAAAAGATCCGAGATTTGAACCCAGAGCAACGGGTGAATACATTAACTCAAGTAGACACATGACCTATAGTCTAAGCACATTTATGTCCAGATTTTATCCAAATAACTCATGGCCATATGTGGCTCTTTGCTGAACCATCATGCAACAGAGCTTGTGTGAACTGGGTCCTAGCTGGATTGGATGAAAGGTGATGTCAGACCCAGAGGTCCAAGATGGAATCCCATGGGAAACAGGAAGTGGCACACAGAAAGGGATATGGGTGGCTCTGTCGTCTGACAGCTGGCCAGCTCAGACGGGAAGTTGACCTGCGTAAGACCTTGGTTCCCACCCTCAGGAAACAGGTGTAAGAATGCAGCGCCCGGCTCCCCCTTCTCTCTGGTTGTCACTGTTACTCAGGTCCTCTGAGCCCCCCTTGGCCACATTACAACCTTGGCCATGAGAGATGCCTGTATCCACCCAAATCTTTGGGACTAAGATTTCTTAACCAAGGTTGTTTCAACAAAGCTTATCTCCTTGTGGAGGTACAATGTACAACCCCACATTTCGGATTGCAAAGGGAACATGAGTCCAACTCACGTGTTCCAGGAAATCGTTGTTACAGGCATAAATTTACAGCATGACCCTTATGGATTAAGAAATGCTGCGTTTCTTTGTTTCTCTAAATCAAATCAAATTTGGCTCCAATCCAGAGAGATCTAAAGTCATTATGGGGGAAAAATGCATATTGAAGTCAACCACATTTTCTGGTCCCCTTCCCCTGCATTGAGGGGATCTCAGGGGCCCAGCACGAAGGGAGGCCCTAGACTTAGAAGGGATGGGGGATCAGTCTTCAGTCCTTGGGGTTGCCCTGGTTTCCCACTGATTGCCAGGCCTGATGCCTTCACAGCCTAGGAGCTTCCAGTGCTCCTTATCCCTCCCTGTGAATAGACACTGGAATCCTCCAGCCTGTAGAACCCTGAAGAGAAAGTAACTTTTTCCCAGGCTGTCGCTGGGAAGGCGTTTCCTGAGATGGAGCCACCCCTTCTATACTGAAAGCATCTGTTTCCCCTCTTGGACAGCACATCCTAATTGTTTCGTGGATTTAGACTTTTGAAATCAAAGGCTTCTGAAATCTCCCAGAAATCCCACTTTCATGTCAACCACTGTGGTCCTAAATGGAAATAATTTGAAAATTACAGCACAATTTGAAGCGTGTATAATAACAATCAATTTCTTGATAGTCACCAACCAAAAATGGCGCCAGAATCTGTACCCAAAAATCCTGGCCCCAAAGCCCCACACTTAGCCACAACGCCATCCTGCCTCCCTGCCTTGGTCCCCCTGTCCCTCACTCCAGGCAGTAGGAACAGCATGGATGGTGACAATCCAGGCAGGGAGACCCCACGTGGGTCAGGGCCAGGCAGTGGCAGTGGAGAGGTGGGAAGAGACGGGGATGGGTCTGCAGGGAGAGCTGATAGGGTTTCCTGATGGCTAAGCGTGCAGCATGAAAAAAAGATGCTTTAAAGATGGTGTCAAGGTTTGGGATTGGATCAACTGGAAGAAGAGCAATACCATTTTCTGAAATGAAGAAGATTCTAGTAAGAATAGGTGTTGGCGAGGTAGATCAAGTTTACTTTCACCTATTTGGTCTGAGCTGCCTTGAGCTGAGAAGCTGAGTGGGTAGGTAGACACATAAAGCCGGAGTTCAGGGAGAGCCCTGAGCTGGAGAGATTGGCCCAGAGATGGAATTTAAACCGTGCAGCTAGAAAAAACGTGAATACAGATGAGGAACCCAAGAGACTGAGACTGGGCCAAGCCCTAGAGAGAGTGGCATCCAGAAGCTGGCAGAGGCGGGAGGTTCAGCACAGGAGCCAGGTGAGAAATGCCCGGGAGGGGGAAGGGGAACCAAAGAGGACCGTCCTGGAAGCCAAGGGCGGAGCCCATTTCAAGGAGGAGGGAGCAGTAATCCACAGCGGGAATTCTCCACCTTCAACTTCACATCCACGCCAGGAGTCAGCACTACCTCACCTTCCTTCCACAGACAGGAAAGCTGGGGCTGGGAAAAGTAAAGCATTTGCTCATACGACTTGAAGGTGCAAGTAAAGCCCCTTCGCCATGAGAAAACTTTCATGCAACCGGAAATTCAAATTTCTTGCTGCACATAAGTGACAGTTTAGTAAAGCAATTCCTAAGAGCCACATGGAGACCGAAGAGGACTTCATGTGTGTGGGTCTG